GAAAATTTTATTACTTTTGCTACTTCGACTTAAGTTTTTTAAACACTGCATATACACATGTATGTATGTACATCAACACTAACACATCACGGGGTTTTGATTCTAACCTCACTTGTTATTAATTTGGTTGGCACATATTGAGTTCACTTTAAGTTTTCATCCACAAAATCACTATTCGCGTGCGGCACACAATATTGGACAAATAAGAAGTCACTTACAATTGAGAGTTGGGTGGCGAGTTTTTAGATTCTGCAATTATAAGAAAAAAGTAAAATATATATACATACTTACAGATACATACATACGTATAACCATTAAAAAATACATACATATATATTATTACAAATAAAAGAATATTTCTTAATACGTGTGAAAGTACACTAGAAATTCTTGTGTTAAAATCTGGGATTGTGGTGGTCTCTAAGCATTTTTCTCAAGTGAAGTCGTACTTGAATCTTGGTCTCCAGTGGTTTCTCTGTACTAAATAATACCTGTCAGTTTGCAAAATTTTTTGTTCTGATCAACAAAAATGGATAAATTCATAAAATTGACTTATGTTGTGGCAGAATTTGAGGCCGACTATAATGACACGGCCCAAACTGACCATACAAAATATACCCTCACTCTTCAGCAAGAGGAACTTAAGGCAATATGGAGAAAGGTAAAAACAGCTTACGAGGAATTAGTGCATTCCGACACGTTAGACGCTAAAGGAGTCTCTACGGTTAAGCCTAGGTATAAGAGCTCCTATTCTGTTTATTTGCGCTGCATGTCGAACATGTCAGATTTCCAGGCAAAGTTAGTAAAGGGCGAAAAAGATACAGAGGGCGTGTCTGTCCAGGAACACAATATACATCTGCCCCCGTGCGATACGGACGTGTTCAAAGGCGACTACCTCTCTTGGCCAACATTCCGAGACATGTTTACGGCCATATATATACTGAATAAGCGCCTTACCCCGGTTGAGAAATTATTCCACCTCAACCAAAAAACACAGGGGGAGGCCAAAGATATCGTACAAAAATGCCCACTTACAAACGAGGGATTTGCCACTGCATGGAAAAATTTAACTGATAGGTACGAGAACAAACGTATTCTCGTAAACTCCCAGTTACAAATTCTTTTTAATTTAAAGTCGGTAGAAAACGAGTGCGGAATCTCGATTAAGAAACTACAGCGAGATATAAATAATTGCATCTCATCATTAAAAAGCCATAAAATTGACATATCAAACTGGGATGCAATATTTACTTATCTCTGCTCAACGAAGTTGCCAGAAAGTACCTTAGCATTGTGGGAACAAACGATCGAGAACAAGACGGAAATANCTGGATGCAATATTTATTTATCTCTGCTCAACGAAGTTGCCAGAAAGTACCTTAGCATTGTGGGAACAAACGATCGAGAACAAGACGGAAATATCCAAGTGGGAGGATATGGACAAATTTCTGTCCAACCGATTCCAAACTCTTGAAACCGTCTCGGGCATAACAGGTATTAGACATACCAAAACCCCAAAGCCCCACAATAGTAGGCATACAAATGAAACACCGCAAAAAAGACTTGGCGCATTTCAAGCTTCTGTAGCCAAAGCCATGTGTCTATTCTGCAAAAGCAGTAACCACAAATTATCGAAATGCCACAAATTTCTCGAACTCACGGTGTCAAAGAGAATAGCTTTCATTAAGGAGAATCATGGCTGCTTGAATTGCTTACATGCTCATTTAACTGCAGCACCTGTCACCAAAGGCACCACACGCTCCTGCATAATCAAGCAGCTCAGCCAAAAGCAGCCATGAACCAAAGGCAACAACCAAATTTTTCAGATGACACGCCGTCAACTTCTGCGCAAGCCCAGGCCAGACGCAACTCTGAAAAAGGAAATAGGAGTCCGGTTAATAACGTTAAGTCCTGTTTTGCCAACACGAACAAGGGAGTCCTATTAGGAACGGCACGTGTCTTCTTCAATAATACTAATTTTTCAGCCCGTGCACTAATAGACTCCGGTTCGGAATGTTCATTCATATCAGAAAGACTTAAACGCCGAATTAACCTACCATCCAAAAGTTTGAATGCTCAGGTGTCAGGCATCAACAACACCGTTTCAGCCCAAGTCAAAGAAGCGTGTTTAATACAGTTGCGGTCACCGATTGACCCTTTAATAAAAATAGATACCACTGNTTTCAGCCCGTGCACTAATAGACTCCGGTTCGGAATGTTCATTCATAACAGAAAGACTTAAACGCCGAGTTAACCTACTATCCAAAAGTTTGATTGCTCAGGTGTCAGGCATCAACAACACCGTTTCAGCCCAAGTCAAAGAA